GAGGTTCCATTCTATCCTCGAGGAACGATAAAAAGGATAAAGTGCTGGAATGAAGGGACGCGGCACGCATGCTATTTCCATCCGGAATCGTGTGCCTTACTGAATGCGATGTGGCTTATACAATGACTTGCAGGGGCCAGCCGATGTACAAGTCAGTGTTTTCCTCCCAGACGAATCTGGTACCAATTTACCGTCCCCGGAGGGTAGAAGGCTTGGTTGGCCTGGGCGGGTGTCGACCTGGGATTCGAACCCAGGACCGCGCGAGTGGTAAGCGCGCCACTTGTCACTACACCACCGCCTCCGATACTTCTTCTTTATAAGCGCTTATCTTTCGAGCTAACCCCTCGACATCCACAGTAAGCTCAGCCCGTCCGTTCTCCGATCCACGGTTGAGACAAAATTGCCTCAAAATGGCACAACCTTGCTATAGAACTTCCAGCGTTATCCCTGGAAGCTGTGTGTTGATATTTTGCGTCGCCCTTTTCTCCGACTTTTCTCGGGTAACTAGAGGGGCGATAAGGCCGGGTCGGACAATGAAGTTATAGCCACATTGCGAAGACTTGAGTGAGAGACTTTCTTGACGTGAGTAATCGTCATGAGTAATAGATGGATGAAATTCAGAGTCGAGAAAAATCGCATACTGTCACTAGTTTGGAATATTCAAGGATTTTTCTTAAAATAACCGTACAACTTGCACAGTCGGCTACTACACATCTTTTTTGAATTTTTACTAATCGTTACGACCGATTACATCGCTAGCAGTTTGTGAAACTCACCCCTTGGTGCAGGCACGACAGGCGCTGGAGGATAAGGCGCTCCAGGCGCCTGGGAATAAGGTGGTGTAGGTACTGTTCCTGGTGGACATCTACGGCATGTCCACGGACATTGTTGTGTCATGAGGTCGTAGTAGATGCGATTTTCGCAAAGGTACTGTCTAGATGGACAGTCTGACTTTTGTGTTCGTGGATTTAGAAGATCCACGCATGCTGTAAAGAAGAATATTACATTCACTGAATAATAAGAAGGACGATGGTGGAATTTTTTTTGAAAAAAGTACGCTCAATGAACTCCCTCCCCTTCGTAGGTTGCAGGACTCAGAATCAGTTCATGTGGTTAAAGGAATGCAACTGAAGTAAAAAGTAAGAGAAACCGTCAAAAACGCCCCAAATAAGGTCTCATATATGGGATTGAAAATGGACGATTTAACGAAATTTCGTGCGAAATCTCCGAATCTCGTCCATCGCCTCGCTGCGACTCATTCTCGAAGGCATATTCGGTAGGATTAGCACTTTCAGCGCTAATGAATTTTGATAACGAAAATGGAAGTTTAACCAGATTGAAAGTAGTGTGAATAACTGTTCGTGCTTTTAATCACGGGCTCTTCTTAAAATCTGTGGTAACGCTGACTTTTCCTTTCCCTTTTCTTGCTTACGGAAAAAAATTCGTTGCGGACCGTCAGTACCTGCGCCATCTCGCTTCTTCTTCCCTGTACTCCAGCTTGAGCGTGAAAGTTGTCAAAATGAGAGCAGTTTCCGGAAAAGTACTTCCTGATTGTTTTCTCCGATGTTTCGTTGATAATATGTCTTGCAACGCACGTCGTCACGCAACCGCGCGCCAGTATAGTTAGTAGCTACTAAGCGAAGACTTTAAATGTGAGTTCTGTGAAGGGTAACACTGCTACTAAATAGGTCATACGAATACTCTTAATTATCCGCATTCGCCATATGTGATTTGATTTCTTTAGATTGTTCCAGAGAATCGCGTTACTCGGTGCCCTTCTTTCTGTGTTTGTGCTTGCAGCTAAGCGTCCTGTTGCGAGGTAGTGCCCACAAAATAAATTGCAACGCATTGCAGGCTATTCCCACCACACGACCCGATCTTCTGGCTTTCTGGATTGAACTCAAATTCATATATCATATTTGCCAAAAAAACCCCAAGAAACAGTACATATTTGTGGCTCATTTGTGGCTTGATTAAATAAACATTAAACCGGTTTTGGCGCTCACAATCCATATCTATTTCTCCAGTGCTCACACTATTTGAAGGCAGTGGACACGATGGCTGAGGGCGGGCGGTTACTGACATCGTCACTGGCGGAAAGCCTCAGGGTGTGACCAAACGCTCTTGGAAGACAGAGCCTGGGCATATGTACCTCTCCCTATTCTTCTTTTTCAGGTCACGATAACCACAAGGGTTGGGTTATTATAACCATTGCAACATACGAGCAGCGTGTATCAGGCCCTTGGATAGACCAGAAAATCAACTATCAATCTGGAACGGATGAATTTGCAGGAACAGATTATATCCCACTATTCTCAGCAGAAATCATGCTCGGAGTTTTGACACTAAGGTTTACTTAACGGGTTTGAAGGGTGTCATGGGCGACATGGTCGGTACCCTGCAGCGGAATTTACCACAGGAGAAAATGCAAATTTTCAGAAAGCTCACGTCTTGGTGGTGGTGTTGGTGGTGCTACAGTCGTTGTTGTTACTGTACTAGAAGTAGTAGTAGTTGTTGTTGTTGTTGTTGTTGTAGTTGTTGTTGTTGGAGGTGCTGGTGGAAGAGGAGGATCGATCTACAAAGAACAGTGAAGTTCATGTGTTGATATTTCGCAAGCATGGCTTGTAATTCCACAAAAAGTTTCCTTATAAGGAATGTCATGTCTCTCTGGCTCGTAATTTTGTAGTATGGTCATACTGGATAATTTTAAGCGGCTCCTTGGAACACCTATTCAGTACTGCTTTCCTTTTGCACTGACAGTGCTGACAATGAGTGTGCATGACCGAGTTACTGGGGAGACTTCTACTTCAGTGGCTGTTTTCACTGTGAGAAGCTGCTTTGTTCCCGTCATCTCGTGGAAGAGTACCCGTGCACTTCTTAACCATGAGAATATTTGAACATGAAACACGTGAAAGAGGCGCCAAAAAATTTATTGCAAAAAACTCAAAAGAATCCAAAAGTTCTTGCAAAAATTTTTGTTTCTAATACTTCCTTCGAATATTTCGGTGCCTAGCACCTTCCTCAGCGATCTGAAATACTATAGTTAGTCGTCTGCAACCGAATCCCGGATCTTGTCTTCAGTGGTGCCCGAACTGGACTCTGACCTGGTCTTCTGCCTCCAATATAGCCTCCGCCGCTCCTTGCAAAAGTGCGACTTCTAGTGTTGACTGCGACCCTACCCGTCATCCTCCCTTAAATAGTGAGGATGACTGGTGAGCGCTCTGCATATGATATCACTGACCGCTCAACCATTATCACGTAGTCAGTGAATCAACTGCAGCGCGTCACGTAGCTCATCCCTACTATTCATTTCTGGAGAGAGCCTTTTTATTTCCAGTGCTTCTAATAGTTTTCTTTCCACTGTATTTTCTATGGAACGGTGTAATACTGTAATGGTGATTGCGGGAGGACCTTCGTGTATATGCATGGTGGTGCGGTGCTTCGAGAGACTGTTATCCGGGTATGAAGCTGGATTGTTTAGGGCTTGGTATGATTTGCTATGAAGCTGGATTGTTTACAAAGAGGCCACTCTTCAAACGATTAGATGAACACCGCAGGGCCCTAAACAATCCAGCTTCATACCCGGATAACAGTCTCTCGAAGCACCGCACCACCATGCATATACACGAAGGTCCTCCCGCAATCACCATTACAGTATTACACCGTTCCATAGAAAATACAGTGGAAAGAAAACTATTAGAAGCACTGGAAATAAAAAGGCTCTCTCCGGAAATGAATAGTAGGGATGAGCTACGTGACGCGCTGCAGTTGATTCACTGACTACGTGATAATGGTGGAGCGGTCAGTGATATCATATGCAGAGGCGCTCACCAGGCATCCTCACTATTTAAGGGAGGATGACGGGTAGGGTCGCAGTCAACACTAGAAGTCGCACTTTTGCAAGGAGCGGCGGAGGCTATATTGGAGGCAGAAGACCAGGTCAGAGTCCAGTTCGGGCACCACTGAAGACATTCGGTTGCAAGACGACTAACTATAGTATTTCAGATCGCTGAGGAAGGTGCTAGGCACCGAAATATTCGAAGGAAGTATTAGAAACAAAATTTTTGCAAGAACTTTTGGATTCTTTTGAGTCTTTTGAGTTTTTTGCAATAAATTTTTTGGCGCCTCTTTCACGTGTTTCATGTTCAGATTACAATGAGGCTCCGGGACAGCACCATATTAAGATATGAAATTTTGTTGAAATCCGAGAAATTGTTGTAATCTCACATCCCTCGAGGATCTTCTCCAGGGATCAAATTCCAGTTTAGCGGCCCAAGATACCTATATCTACGAAAATCTTATGAATAGATCGAAGGATGCACACCGTTGATGAAAGTGACGTTCAATAGTGTACTGCGATGGCTAACATCTGAGATTGTTACAGATGCTTTATCAGGCTGACGTTTCGGCGAAAACGTCGGTCTGCAAACTACAAGCACTTATCGAAACAAATTACCCAATAACTACTTCCATTTACAGATGTAAGTCGAAGGTTAGAGAAGGTTATTGGAAAACCAACAACAACCCAGGGTTGCGAGATATTGCACTCGTTCCGTTATATATTTTCTATTATATGCTAAAAGCTCAGTATTTTCGTAGAGCATGAAAACTGAGAGTCAGTTTGCTAGAACTAATGCTTCACTGCTGTTCCCTGCTGTTTCAGTCGTTACTTGTTTACGATTTTGTGAGAAGTGCTTCAACTAATCCAGAATCATGAGGTTTCTGGTCCAATGCATCACAAATAAAATCTCAGAGCCACTTCAGCTTCTTGGAAAGGTTGGCTCGCTCCAAACGATGGCCATTAACTGGTTTGATTTCGGCAAACCCTTCTACCTTATAAGAATATTAACGCACACGCATCCAAACTGTATTCATTTAAATTTCGTAAGGCAGCGTTCAGACTTCGCGACGGCAGCGCAGTGCGCGTCTGGCTCGACGCGATCGATGCAGTCGAATTGCCTGCGCGTTGATCTCGCTGAACGCGCGACCGAGGCGGCGTGCCGTCGGAAAGTCTGAACGCTACCGAGAAAACACACAGCTCATAGTGGAAAGCAGTTGTTTGGAAAAGTGCGCAGATACTCTGCTAAAAGGAACTGAAAACTTATTACGAAGTCAACACTAACCTTTTGATTGTCACAACACAGCTCCACACCTTTTCCTATTTCGATGCAAGTCTGAGTTGCCGAGTCTGGACAAAAACCAACCACGCATGCTGAATCAATCCTGTGAATCTACCGTTCTGTAGCGATTACGAGACTCATACGCTCTTTACTCGGATATACTCTCCTCATCATTGCGGACCGGTGGGGCGTGTCAGCCAGTAAGGAGTGCGCACACTGTTGAAGCCGTTCTCAGCCTTTTTGTTGAAACGCGTATGCGACAAAAAGTGGTAGAAAACGAGTAATACGAAGGATATAATACAGTAATGTCACTTGCCCGCTTCAACAACTGGTGCAGAACGACTTCATCACCGCGGAAGACGGAGCCGCACTGACACGCCCCACCGGTCCGCAATGATGAGGACTGTATACGATCAGTTAGTTTCTTTTTCTGAACCTATATTTTCATATTTTGTCACTTATATGGCTGTTTCTTTGATTACGAAGGGCTCATGGTGGGCGAGAATGAAAGTAAGGAGCACGGCGAAGTCGAACCACAACCATAGATTGACACAAACTATTACATAACAGGAGAGCATACATATTATGAATTATCCGATGGTGTGCTAGCTTATATTATGACAATTATCCATTATTTGCCGACTGAATACCTTTTAGAACGTTGAAGAATGGTTTAAGAGAAGATAGGACGTACTACTGTAGTTGGGGTCACGGTGCCGGCGTGTTCAGCTAGATGAGTGTGCACCAGCCAACCAAGCTGCCTTTTTGTTGAAGGCGCGCATGCGACAAAAAGTGGTTAGAACGAGTAATACGAACGATATGATACAGTATTGTCACTTGCTCGCTTCAACAACTGGTGGAGAACGAGTTTGGCACCGCGCCAAACGCAGCCGCACTGACACGCCCAACCGTCCGCAGCGAACTACACTATGTTTCTGTGAGCACTTTTTGGACGTTATTTCAAGTACTCTTACGCAGGTTCTCCAGAAGTCGGTCATACAACCAGTCAGGAACTATTTTTCTGACAAACTCCGCACGCTGCTTAAACAGGAGCAATAGGTTGGGGAGGCAGATAATAGCTAACAAGAGCCACAATTGCCACACTGTAACTTCAAACATGTGAACTGAGGATGCCACATTAACCAACGTCATATTTTATTAGTGTGGGTATTTTTTGAAGGTGAAGCCCTCAACCCCAGATTACGGGTAACGGAATTCACATAGGAAGTACTAGTCAACAGATTAGCTGAGAAGCAGCAGAAAAAACAGTCCGAAATGCTCTAAATAGGACTCCATATCGACCCCAACTTGTATACTCGAAATCCCTGAGATCGGTGTGACATCTTGAATTTGTGCATAGTCCAGTTGATAAACAGGATTTTTCAAGGGAGGGGACTCCGGGTGGGCGCCGAGCTACCTAAGTCGGTGAAAAAGCGTTGCGCGAGCGACGCCATAGACTGCTATGAGTGTGCAGAGAAGAAGAGAAAGATCGACGACGCTCAAAGGATTGAGTTCAAGTTGTCCGTAGACAAGATCGGGTAGCCAATAAAGCAACACTCTACTCGAGTCACATATCAGTAAAGTTTACGCAGCCCAGATAGAAGAAGTGGATACGAGTACCAGGGCGGAAGATACCCAAGATGTTCCTCGATAAGCAGGAGCAGGCTTTCGTCCATCACCTTCAAACAGCTGCGAAACTTCTAGTGTGGAGTCACCCATGGATAGCTACCTGGAGACCAGTACTCTCGATCTGGAAGACCTCCAACATCGAGCAGCTCCGACAACGTCGCTACGGTCCAGGATATCATCTTCACCACAGTCGCCAAGGCGCGGGTTGATGGTATGGACCGGAAGTTCCTGGAATGGAAAGACCGATATTTTCTTCGTGGACCCCGGACTGAAGGTGAACGCTGACGGTTACATCGACCAACTCGAGGAGAATATCCTGCCTTCATGTCGTCGCCTGTACCATCTTGGAAACTTCGTACTGCTACAGGATTGGGTGTCACCACATGGAATGGAGGGGCGTTTGAATAACTCTCGGCTACTTGAAATCTAAGGACGTTGAGAACCTGAGGAAGGGCGGAATATCCAAGGTGCGTTACCTGGTGGTCTACGGTGGCGGAGAAAATCGACTATCTCGCTGATCTCAGGCACCACATCGCGGTCGCGTGCCAGAATCTCTCGATGGCGCTCGTCCAGAAGGCTGTGGCGGAGTATCGTGATAGTGTTCAATGTGTTGTTGAACATGATGGTAGAAATGTCCAATCGGAACTTAATAAAGTGTTACTTATGCTCCTTAAAAGCCGAGGAAAAAGTGTCTTTTTTTTATTGCTCCCCCCCTCTGTAGTTAGTGACATCACCCCCCCCCCTGCCCGAAGAAGGATGTTAGTACGACCTTCCTTCCTTCCCGAACCCTTACTTACCAGTTTCCCTCATTTTCCAGTTTTTGCTGTTGAGTGAGAGGGGCAGGAAAAAAACTTTCCCACCGCGACAAAGTTCTCCAGCGATTCTCTCCCCACTCCCAACGACCAAATACGACCCGCCCTATGTGTTTCGCACAACGATGCTGTACCCTGTCTGTGAAGGAAGCTGCACTGCTTTGATCTTCCCATAAGTGAATACCGTGTGTGCTCCTAGTCTGGAAAATTTTGAGTTTTTGAGAAAATGCCAAGTCGCTGCCCAACTAGTCCTTTCCACTGAAACCTGAACCAAACCACATCAGATGCACCAGGAAATTTAGCAGCGCCCATTGGAATAATTATACTTTAAATCCCTGAGATCGGGTAGGCATGGCTGCATGCCTCCAACTTAACCTGAAGGTGTCTATGCTTCTGGTGAGATATTTTCATCTTGACACAATTGTTGTCGTGTCTCTGTCCAACACAGAACAAGATGACAGTTGTCCCAGACTGGAATATTCCACGAGTAACCAGTTCCGTGCCATGTTCAAATGCCACGCCTATCTGGCTCAGGGATAAGGAGTGTACATCACGAACGAAAAGCAAAGGCAGCATACATTACAAATTCTTTCCCAGTCACAATGCAAAGTTCTTGTTTAAACGTAAACAACATATTTCTCAACCAATTATTGAACTAAAAGGTACAATTTCGGTCTAATCGTGATGACCAACCAGGAAAACTTACGTCCAATCACTCCACCCTGTAGGCACTGACGATACTGAGCCTCGGCAAGGCAGGCAAAGAAGAGCAGTACAATTACGGCCACTTCACCGTAATCATATTTCAGCATCTTTACCATGATTTTGAAATTTCACGCTTTTTATGCTTTCACAGGAGCTCATCGTCGACCTGAACAGCTGATTCAACAGATTTCATTGGGCGAAATAACAGAGGAAGATTCACTTGGAACTACGTGAATTACTAAGTAAGCAGAAATGACGGCATCCAATTAGTGGGCGCTTGCTCCTAGATTTTCTTGAGTTTCCTGTACCATATATTTTCATTGTTAATAAATGATCGGAGTCGTTTGCGAGATCAACATTGGCCCCACATCAACTGGCCTGCAAGCCATTCTTTCGCCGAAATAGCGTTCGAAGTAGCAATACGATTATGTATGGAGCCACAGTGTTTGCACGTGTCAAAAAAAAGAGTGACGTCGCACCGAAAGCATTGCCTTTTTACCATTTACCTTTAGCAAGTGGAATCTGTTTGGCAGTAAATGTGATCATCACATAATAGTCTTTCTGGGCATTTGCGCAGTTCCCTTTGTTCCCAGTTGAAGGGAGGAATATTCAACTGATAAAGGGCAGAACGCCTCACTAAAGTCAACAGTATTCGCACTTTTTTGATAGTTGGAATATTTGCGCTATGCAAAAATTTTGCGGAAATGATTTCCATCTATCCAATAAGGGGATTTTTAAGTGAAATAAATCGAATCTGTTGATCAAAATATGGAATATGATCCAGAGCGTTCACATTTCGTGCAAAGGATCATATTTGGCCGCCAGGAGAGGGGCGGGGTCGTTTTATTCTTATTTATTTATGCTGGAAACAATTATTTTGGTAGTTGATTTTTCTCGCTTCACGGACGTTGCAAAGGGGGTTCATACTTGCTCACGGAGGGGGTCGTATTTACTTTCTGGCCTTTCTAGCAGAGGTGTGCAGGGTCTCCGAATGGCGAGGTCTCCTTATGCTCGAGTCACTTTTTTTCTAGACCAATAGACCATTCATCCCATTATCTCTCTACACATATACATTTCCTATTCAAATAGCATATTATTTATTTACAACTTTTTCCTTCTTTCTTTCTTTCTTCTTATTCGCTTTTCATTCATTCATTCAGTCATTAATTCCTACATTTTTTTCAAATTTTTATCCTCGCCAAGAGTTCTCAAAAAAAAACAATGGATAGAGAAAGACTGCCTATGCGATCTACAATCAACGAGCAATACTAGTTAGAGGAACATCAAGGGCAATATCCGCAAGTTCTGGGGCACTGCTGTCTCATGAGGGCCACGTAGCGCGGGTTCCGACAGTAGGTAGCCACCTGGGCACAATTCGAAATTCCTGTTCTCGAGTCGACCAGATCTTGGCACGCTGAAAACAAACAAATTTTTGTGATATTAAGGGTCTATAGAAAAATAAAAGAATAAAGGGAAAACTCAGATTCCCGTGCGTCCCATATCTTTTCGTTGGGAGGGGGAGTACCCACGAATTTGGCTGTGAGCACGACGGCGACAGACAGTCGCCGACTCAGGTAGAGACAGACACAGCGTGAATATAAGGGGGAGAGAGCAGATAGTAAAAATGGAACACCCATGCACATCTCACTTCTGTCTGAGCCAGCATCTGCTTACGGCTTCCGCGCTCAGAACCATGTCCGTGGAGAGTCCCCTTTAGTGATTTTTACTGAATCACCTTTACTTGAACGTTAAGTTGAGAGTAGGCTGACATCAAACGTTCCCGCATCTATGAGCTGTA